TGGGAGAACAGGTGGGGAAGCCTGCTCACTGGGCTCAGCATGAGCCGTTTGCCTCTTTATGTGTTGCTCTATACTTAGCCCTCAGAGAGCCACAAATTACAGTGGTTAAATAAAGCTTTTGAAAACGGCAAGTAGCAACATGGCAAGTACAGAACACCACCGGGTGGCGTGCCCCCACCAACGCCTCCCTCCCCCTCCCGCCCCAGGACCGCCACCGTGTCCTTCGTGAACCCCCATCACTATGGTATTGTCTGTGTGTGGTAAACACAGCTCTCTTTTGTTTTTTAAACTGAGAGGTTCCACCAAAGGCTGGGACAGAAAGAAAGCTGAGGGGATCCTTGTGGGACGAGTATTTTGGGAGAAGACTGATGTAAGCCCTCACTGGGTCTAGAAGAGAATGAAGACGGGGACATCTCTTGAGTGTTTTGTATGTGCAAAGCGATGCCCCAGCCGTGCGTCACAGGTAGGAACTGGCTTATCCTTGTGATGCCTTGTGATGCCCACTCTGTGGATGAGCAGACCAGGGGACAGGAGGGCTCAAGATCTCTCCCAAGGTCACCTGGCTGGCAAGAGGCAGGACCAGGGCTCCGTCGGCCCCAGAGCCCGTGTTCTCAAAGACCACACTTAATGACTTAGTGAGCCTGCTGTGGACTGAATGTTTGTGTCCCCCAAATTCACAAATAGAAGCTGTGATCCCAATGTGACAGTCTTGAAGCTGGGGCCTTGGGAGCTAGGTTTAGACAGGTCATGAGGACAGAGCCAGAGATGGGCTTAGTGCCCTTATAAGATGGGGAGGGGACCAGAGCCTGCTCACACAGCAGCTGGGAAGATGACCCTGGTATTGTTTAGGTAATAAAGACCATGAAATGTCTATGTATGCTAAGTACAGGGGGGTGTTTTGCAGTCACACTGGTGCAAGCTGGGCTGCGGAACCACGGATGTGGAGGTCCGACTCCAGGCTTTTCTGTGTGGGCAGCTCTCTTTCCAGGGAACAGATTTCCAAGAGTGAATTTCTTAGGGGAAGGGATATTTTTAATTTGAAAGATATTTCCAGTTTTGCTTTCTAGGTAGGTTTTAGCAAATCACCCTGGATCCATGGGGACCACACAGCAGATCTATCTTCCTTTGGAAACATCCTTGCTAGATTAGGGCACCCTTCCCAACAGACCAGAGACACGCCTGCCCCACAGCCCTAGCAGCTGCATGGCGGACATGGGGCAGAGGCCACAAAATGCCCCTCCAATGAGGCAAAGACACAGGCCCTGCGAAGAGTCCAGCTTGGTGAGCTGACTGGGGACATGTCTAGTGCTATGACATGGCAGGGTCAGAAGTATGGGACAGGAACCTCTGGCCAACCCCTCCGTGGCAGGACTTGATTGATCTCTCTTAAATGCAGTTCCTTCTGTCTGTCCCCCTGCCTCTACCCCTCCTGCAGAGCTGCAGCCACAACGTACCTGATCTTCTGAAGACTGGAGGTGATCATGTCATCCTCTTTCTCTGGAAACCTCACCTTCCTCTCCTCCAGGCTGACGGTTGTCTGTGTTGACCTGGCCCATGGACCCTCTGAGAGGATGCCTCTGCTTCTCCCAGGTGCACCTGCTGCCTCCTTCGTGCCTCCCTCTGTGGGGCCACATGGTTCCAGCTCTTGGTTTGCCCCTGCTCTTTCTCCCCTCTTGGCTTTTCAAACGGCATCTTCTACTTTATCCCCTTCTCCTTGGCTTGCCAACTTTGTGTTCCTGGTCCTCTGTTTGATGTTGCTTCTTGACCATCCAGAAGTAGATTCAATGTGTCCTTGCTGGTTTTTCATACCCCTCCTAATCTATTTCCCACGAAGTCACCTACAGATTGGAATGACACTTATTTTGTTCCCTGTGGCACATTCAGTGTCTAGGGCACTGCCCAGCACACGGGAGGCAATAAACTTGATACAGTAAATTAATAAAGAGTCAGATGCTACACATACTATTGTCACCCCCTCCATCCTAGGAAAGTGAAGCTTAGAAAGCATTTTCATGAGCTATGAGGTTAACAAATGGTGGACTGGGACTGGAACACGGCTCTTTGATGTATTTTCAACTATCCCTCGTGGCCACCTTCAAATGCAATTTAACAGCCTCTTGTGCTTAACAGACTCCATTACGATCTGAGAACAGTGCAGGGCAGTCTCCCTGACAATGATGTTGTGCACAAGAGATCTCTTTGCTGTGAAACCTGCCCTGCACATGGGAAGATGTTGAGCCACATCCCTGGTCTCTAGTCACCAGAAGCTAACAGTAACTCTCTCCTTCCAGTTGTCTCCAGATAATGGCAACCATCCCTGGTGGCAAAATTGCCTCAAGACAAGGAACAGAGTGCCATTGGGTAAGTCCCTAAAGCCTGGGAGAGAATGTAGGCATGCACTGAGCGAAAGAAGAAAAGCAAGAGCAGAACCTTGTCCAATATTGACCTTGTGTGTTGTAGGCCACGGTACGCACTTCAGAGTCTCGGTTTTCCCATCTGCAAAGTGGATATAGTAGCTCAAAATTGTAAAAGAGTAGAGGAATGCATAGAAAATGCTCCAGAAGTTTCATCAATTTAACTGAACAAAGGCTGTCTTCTGGCCACAGCTACTGCACTCACTCATCAAAGCATGCATAAAGGAAACCCTGCCTTAACAGCCGGGCTGGAGATCCAGGGTCAGGAGGGATGGATTTGACAACACAGGGTTTTGCATTCTGGGAGGCAAAAATGTCCCACCTTCAGAAACAAAAACCAGTGAGGCCTTTGGGCTGACCAGCTCGTGGGCACGCTGGGCACACTGCTTCTGAGCTGCTCCTGGAGAGAAGGAAGAAGGAAAGTCATGCTTGCAGATGGTTTGCTGTCCTTTAACATGATGCCATGTCTAAACTAGGAAGAGGGAGGGCATTTCAAGACCTGTTGAAGAATGGAATCAGGCCAGTTGTGAACTGTGCCCTCTCCCTCGCCCAATGTTCATGCAATCGCCATTTAGTGTTGACTCACTGGGCTTGCTTGTGAGATTCTTTTATGTTTGAATAGTGATTCCAGAAGGAACATTGGCTTTGAAGCCTCTGTCCTCTTCACAGAGTCCTGCTTCGACCTAATGTTGCTGCTCCAAAACATGCCTCTCGGGGACTCCACAGTTACAACTGTGTTACAGCCTGAGAACTCATAGATGACAGTAAAGAGACAATGACCTCTCCTAGTCCACTATGTCCTCTCCCCCGAGCTAGTGTGCCCTCGGTCCATCAGAGCCGGGAGCAGGTCCACCTCAGCCTCCTGTGGGCAGGGGAGTGCAGTCCCACCATGTGACAGGAATGCCCGGGAGGGTATAGTGACCATCTCAGGAAAGAACTGAAGCTGGCCTCCTGGAATCCCAGGTTTCCACGAGTTGCACCATCACCCTCAGTGACTCACCATCTTTAAAAGACTTGGTGGGGTCGAGATAAACTCCGAGAGGGGACGACAGAGACCAATGTTAGCATTGGCAGGATGGGCAGAGCACTTCCAACTCTAACTAAAAGGGTTGTTATGGAGGCACAGAGTGGTTCCCACACCTTTCTGCATATAGTGTCTGGGCTGGCAGCCGATATTCCTTTAAAGTGCCCCGGGAACTGTGGCCGTTCTGACCAAAGGCAACTAAGTAAATGAACTGCCCTTTGGGGCTACAACATTGAACCCCTTAAATGAAGGCAGCTTACACACATGCAGATACATGTCCCTTGTGGTCCCTGTAGGCATAACTGCCCATCACCAGAGCGCTTTCAAACAGGGAGGGAGATCTGGTTTGCTGGAGCTTTGACCTCTAACACCAACAGAGGCAGAGGGTGGCTCAGCAAGCAGGAGTCTGTTTGCATGTCTGTGTTCCTTTTTTCTGCACACAAACTTAACCATGAAATCATCAATGCTGACGTGTAGAGTACGTGTCAGGGCCTGCTCCTCAGGCATGCCAATTGTCACTTTCTGTCCTGGCTATCAAAGGTGTTATCTTTTGTGAGTAGAAAAAAAGAAATTAGTTAAGGTCTGGATTTAAATGGACACTGGACAAAAAGAAAGTCAAAAATAAAATTAGCCAGGAATAAAATCAGCCATCTATCGAAACATGCACATGCACATACACATTCGCATGTGCGTGCACTCGCACACATTCTCAACTGCACTAGTCAGCGAGCGCTGTTGCCCGGCTCCTCTCTGGAATAAGTGCTCTGTTCATGAGTTCTCACACTTTAAATGCCGCCAGGCTTAGAGATCTGCTGTCCCCCTTGAAGCAAGGTCCTAGGACCATGCATCCACTGGCTCCTCTGTGGCAGGAGGCCTGTGAGGCTCTGCGGGCCTATTGTTCCTTAGTTTCCACACCTATGTGTGTGTCGTGACATGAGATGGGAGATGAATGTGTGGTCGAATTAAAGAATACAACCCTAATGATCTAAGCTATTATTTATCATCCTATTTATACTCTAATTGTGACAACAAAGTTCTTAGTGAAACTTCTTTTCTCCAGCATGGGATGTGACCGTGAGCTCCAGACATGACTCTGGAGTGTTAAGTAAGGCTTTGTCGTCAAAGGCTCGTAATCAAGGTGTAAAATTTGAGGGTTACACCAAGGATGTGGGCCCCTGAAATAGGCCTGCAGAGAGACCAGATGGCCGGGTGAGGACCGCGGGATGAGGAGGGTGAGGGTGGGACCAGGGCTGTCCTGAGGACTGGGGCAAGGAGAGGAAGGACCCTGAGTCAGTGTCTTGCTGGCGGGACAAGGCAGCCCCAGTGCCGGAGACCCTGGGAGGACGCCAGCCTTCCTAGCTAGGCCCGGTGCTAACTGTGGTCCCCAGAAAGACGCTGTGTGAGAGGAGCCCCAGGTCAGTCCTTCCCCGGCTGGGAGTCGCTGCTACATGGAGTTCTGTAGTTGGAGACAAAGGACTGGCCTCTGGGCCTGACCTGGGCCTCCAGGAGGACTCCTCTACTCTTGCCTGAGCTTGGCCCACGCAGGGCTTGATAAATATCGTGGAATAAAGAAATACCTGACGAAGAGTGAGAGGATGGGGCCAGGGCGGGGCAGCAACAGGGTCTTCCAGGACAAGCCCCTCATCTCAGCAGGTCACTCTCTCCTGGTCCCCACGACACGGATATCCTCAGTGAAGGGGCGCCTGCAGAGTCCCAGGAGGCTCCTTCCATCTCTCCCTGGGTCTCCCCCCCGCTGGGGCCTCTGTGGCTTCTGTCTTTCATTGCAGCCCAAAGCCATCCTTGTGAACATCTGCTTGTGCACAAGGGAGCTCTGGGGACACAGAGGGACACGAAGCCACCAGTGAACCTCCCACAGAGGAAACATGGATAAGGAGGAACAGTAGCCTCCTGGGATCCACAGAGCCGCTCCTTGACCTTGCCTTGACTAGGGGGTGGCCTGCAAGGGACCGTGTTTTGCAACGGCTGTGGCAGCATGGGAGCTCCCCAGCACGACCTGCCCACGAGCTTGATCAGGACCATATCTAGAAATGGGGCTGCTCTGCTGACTCAGGGACTGTCTGATCTCTAAGCCCCCGCTCAGCCTGAAGCAGGGAACAGCTGAAGCTTGGGGCTGGAGTCCTGTGTGGCCCAGCGCTTCAGTGTGTGTATCTATAATGTTGTAGATGGACACAGTGCCTTATTTTGTTTGTTTATTTTTACTTGGTGCTGAGAACTCAGTGCCTCATATGTGCCAGGCCAGTGCTCTTACCATGGAGCCCAGCCCATGTTGCAATATTTTTATATCAACAAGGACACAACATGGGACATTGGTTTTCAGAGTAGCTTTTGAATATTCCGCAGTAGAGACATCACAGTCAAACACTAGCATCTCCTTGCCTTTGTAACAGTCCTTCTACGATTATTGAGAAAACCCTGCTTGAGAAACAGTATTTTCAAAATGTATTCACCCAAATAATGCTCTTGTTCCTTTTGGTCTCTGGTCAGCAGGCTGCATACCTCCACCTTCTAGGCTGGGTTGATGGTGGACATGGGACGGGTTACAGTCTCTTGGATGGTGACAGTCTAACCATAGGTCAAACTGATGTTGCTCTTCAACTTTCAGCTTCAAAAAGATTCTCCAAAGTCCTGCAAATTGGAATAGCCCATGAGGCTTTTTAAAAACACAGACACCCCAATCCCAAGGGAGCCCTTTGTGGCCAGCAGAAGGTGGAACACACATGATCCTCAGGTGGCTCTACTCCAGCCGGGCTGTGAACCCACAGACTCTAGCTTCAGGGGCTGAGCAGTGGAGCTTCTCCAGACAGCACACCTTCCTGATTTGGAAGGCCCAAGGACTCCGTGGCTGGGCAGAGGCAGCTCAGAGATAGTTTCCAAACCTCTCATTTTCCCACAAGTTTCTTTTTTTCTTTCCTTTTTTTTTGGCCACATTCATATATCAGACATTCTATTCATTAATTAATATTTTTCTCTAAATTAACTTGCATTTAAAAAACTGAAATATAAGACATTTAAAAACTCTTCTTATCATTATAAATAAGAACTCAGTACCATTTACCATTAAGAGGAAGCAACTGGAAAAACACACACAACAGCCCCCTGATCTGTTCAGGTCCAGCCGGGCAGCGTAGCTTGCCCTCAGGTGCATAGCCAGTGGGCCGGCTCTCTCTTGTTGAACAGGGATGGAGGGAGGCCTGGCTCTAACCACCTAGCTTTCTTCCCCCTGCCGGACATAGGCCGAGGGCTCTCTTAGCGGTGGAGACTGGTGTGCAAAGCCTCGTGGGCTGATCTGTGCTGATGAAACACCAGGGGCATGTTTTCTGGAGGCTTTTGGGAAAATCATTTCTGTCTTTGAGAAGCCCCTGGAAGAGAGAGCGCTTTGCCTCCAGCTGTTGGCTGGGGCCAGCCTTGGATACAAACGCAGGGCCTGGAAGAGCAGCTGCCGGCCCAAGAGAGAGGCTGAGATCCTCGGGAACCCAGGGCCTCCTGAACAGACCGGCCAGGGCTTCTCCTGTCCCCTCCAAGCTCGCTCGGTTATTCAGGACATTTTGAGACAGCCCTGGGACACCAATGGCTTCCCAACACAGGGGCAGAGGCCAGTGTCCAAAGACCACTGGAATTTAGCAGGGACTTTCTTCTCCACAACCAGGAAGACTGGACGAGAACTGGCAGGGGAGTGACAGCCTGTTTGACTCAGGTCATCTAGTGCCACGTGCATCTATTAGATGAAGTCATTTCAGGGCCACGCATCTTGTCCCTAGGAAATGCTTGCTCGGGCTGGAAGAGACAATGGTTTCATAGAAACAAAGCGGCCGGAGGCTATGAGGGGCTTAGGTTTGCTTCTCAGTGACTCTCCTCAGGGTCACTCTGCCGACCTAAAGAGGTCATGAGGTCTGGGGATAAGGGGAGTAAATTATCAAAACAGCGTTTGTGCCTCTGGCATTAAGCACGGAGCTCTATGAGCATACACCACGTCCTTGGGACTCACAGTACAACCAGTGGACTACAGC